TTGTATAATTCGTTACAAATCTAGTCCAAGCTTGGTTTACTAATTTAAACTGATTTCATTTGACCAATTTACATGGTTGCAAACACTATAGATCACAACCTGAGGTTAAGTTTCTCTCCTCCATTTCGGGGAACAGTAACACATGCAGAGAGTAACTTCACATGCATATTAAAACTGCGCATTAGGCCTTTGATTTTTGCCTTCACGCACTATCCTCGTCTTGCTCTTGAAATTTTCCCACGCTGAGTGAACCTGGCCACTCCGGGCTGAGTTTGCTTTGATGCTGGGAAGGAAGTTCATTGTAAATTAATGAACTTTGGTCCTAACATTCAACCCACTGCTTGTGTGTGTGTGTGTCTCATTTAACTAAAACCATGCAGGAAGAAGGCCGTCTTATTAGATCTCATTATCCTGTGTCAGTTTTATATTAAATAGTAATATAAATAACCTGTCAGCTTGGATGATAAGTGTTTCGGTGTTTAGTTTATCAGTGATTTGCCCACAGCTACATTTGTTTTAGCTGTAACAGAGATACTGTTTTTCCTGTAAGAGAAATTAAATTTGTGTTTATGCAAATTCCAATCCTGACAGGGTGAGCAAGACTGAAATGAAGCAGAGGGGTCCCTGAAGGGATCCTGATCGCCAATATATTAAACACCATTCTGCTAATTACCGAGCTACCAGCCAAAGTCATAGAAAAGTTGACATAAAATATAAATTAAAAAAATATTTTATCTATTTAGAAGACGTTTATTTTAGAAGCCCTAAAAGTCCCTCTGATCCCACAGTTGATAACTCTTACAATAAATTGGACATTTCAGACTTGATTAAATGGATTTTGTACTGGATAGTAACAGCAATAGGGAGCCAGTAAAAGGATCTTCGCACAGGGGTGATACAAGACCATTTATTTCACTAATTAATACTTCAGTGTTAGTTTTCAGTGCAGACATGCTGAGCGGGGTAAAGAGAGAATTACAGGAGTCAAAGCATGAAGAGATGGTAGGCACCTCCAGCTAAGAAGTTGATACAAAGGTTCTCAGTTTTCTGATAAAGATGAAAAAAACATCAACTTTGAAGCTATTTCACACTGCTGTCAAACAATGCAGATTTATAAAACATAATTCCCAGATTAAGAAAGCCGGAGTAAGCGGTGGGTATAACTTTATCTTGGGGAACAACTAAAACCTGTCTTATACTTATTGACCTGTAATTGTTTAAATAAAGTGTGGAGTTGTGTGTTGTCTACGTATAAGCAGCAGTATAGCTTATCAAAACTGCTTGCAACAGGTTAACACATTAAGGTAAGGGCCCCTGGACAATTCCCTGGGGAACTCAGCATGGCAGCGGAGAGAATCTGAGATGCAGTCTCTAATCTAGACACAGAAACTTTGATCAGCCCAAAAAAGCGCTGATGTTTGGACTTTACCTGTATAAAAATTTTTAAGTTTGATGTAAACCTTTAAATTGTACGGGGAAAATACTGTTGCCATGGAAATTCTACCAACCACCAAAACTGAGAGACTACTTTTCAGCTGTATAAATCAGTTCTTTTTAAATCAATCCAGTCATCTGTAGTCAACTTATTTGTATAATTACTTAGTAACTCATCATTTTTGCCGATGAGACTAAATCAGGCTTTCAAGCAGACTCAAGTATTCAGCACAGCCGGGCAATGATTTGAAAATATGTATCCACTATACAGAAATGATTTCAGATACAGCACAGCACTGAATCCTCAGATTTAAAATGATTACTAGGGAATACCTACTCGTTTTTTTACTGAGAAAAACACAACTTGTCACATAACCAGGGCTCTAACTTGCATTTGTGACCAAAAATAGATGTGTGCAAATTGTAAAATGTGTTTAGAGGCACATGTGCGCATAAAAAAAAGACAGCTGAGGCAACAAATATCTTTTTATGCAAATACCGCGGTGAAGTTAGTTAGTTTTAGGTTGGATATCTGATGGACATTCACTGCAGATCTACTGGTGTCTTCTCACTCTATAACCCGTAAAAGCAACAGCAGCATGGTTAAATCTACTCGGCAACCTCGCTGTCAACATCAGCTGTTGAATAAGGGACCATCAATAAATTACCGGTTCATGTGCTCAGAAAAAGCTTTTTTCTTTCAATAGCTTCCATGTCATGTGACCAAAAGACCTAAAATTGATTTCAAATAATAGTACTTATGTCGATCAATAAGACACACATTATTGGATCAATTTTCATTGTGCCCCTAAAGTTCTTTGTGTGCTCCTTACTTTTTCAACTCAGGAGCACATGTGCTGCTTGCAAAAAAAGTTAGTGTCAAGCCCTGGTAGATATCAAGCACAAATGTAGACAGTTTCAAAAATCCTGTAAAAGCAAAGAAAGTCTGACATGAAATATTCAACATACGAAGAAAAAAGCACGATGACCCTCATGCTCATTTTAAACAATATGAATTTTACTCTGCTGTACGTGACGCACAGACAGGGTTGGACATCATGGTTCCACATGACCTCAAAGAAACTATACGACCCCTTCAGGGCCACGCAATAAGAAAGACGAACCGTATTTATGGGCACTAAACGCTGCTTTCTTTGAGCTTCTGTACGTCTTCCAGATACATTCAGTACAGTCTCCCCTTCAGGGCCAGTCTGTCTCCATTTCAGCACTGCATTAATCAATACTTTGAAATAACAACCATTACGCAAACTCAAGTGACGATTTCACACAGAAAAAGTACATTAAGTATCTTCAATTTAAATGCAAAGCCCCTGTCCCTCTATCTCAGGCTGTGTGTTTGCTCTGACTAAAGTGTGTTTGTCAGTTGGAGTTGTTATTTTTCTCTGCAGCATACGCCTCAATGGGCTGTCTGTGTTTTTGGATGGAGCTGGGCAAGACAAATTGACAGCTTCACACACACACACATCCACACGCACACACAAATATATACACACGAGTGTGAGTTTGGACACAGCCACAATGCTGTAACGTGCACAAACAACTCCAAAAACCACAACCACATAAAAAGCAAACGCCCACACAGAAACACACACACACACAGACACACACATACGTTCATATATCGGCTGACGGAGTGAGTGACAGTTTATTTTCGGGACTTAAATGAACAGAAGGACAGACTTGATGCTCTGAGACGAAGGAGAGCAGCGTAAGCAGAAGAATATGAGCCTCACTCTTGCTCTGGGGTCGATGTGATCCACATTACACAACACACACAAACACACAAACACAAACAAAGTGGCCTTTTTATGTTGTGTTCACCTGTCTCTCTGTGTTGCACTCAATGACCACTCCTGACAGAGTTGCTGAGAGGGCTGCTCAGAGCTAAGAACAAAAAGGAGATTAGTAGATTTGGTTGCTCCCCTGCGGCAGACCTGCGACATCTTTGAGCAGGAATCTTGAAAGCTGCACTGAAATATGGTACGTAATTGGATCTATTGTTACAGAGAATTCCTTTCTCTCACACAATAAGATGTCAGAGCCTTCCTAGATCAAAATGGGGAAGTGAAAATATGCTAATGTTTCACAAATCATAGTGTGGACCAACAGCACAGCAAAAAAAAAAAAAGGACTTTGATCGTGGCGGGGTGTTTAAAAACGAAATAATTTGGACAGAATCGGCAGCTTCTGAGGCAAAAAAAGTGTTTAATTAGGAGGAAGAAGGTCTGAACCATTTTCCATTTTGCATGCAGGAATAACATGACATAATTTGAAAAAAGAAAGCATAGAGGAGAAGCCTTGAGAAGAAGAGCTGACTTTGGAGATTTTCTTTCCCAGTGGTCTAACATTACACGGCAAGAGAGGGGAGAGGAGAGGGAGGGAGGGAGGCTGCGAGGAGGAAATCAGAGAAGAGAGGAAGGGGAAGAGAGAGGTGAGGGGAAGAGGGGATCATCCTCTACCCTTCACCTCCTGTCTATTTCTCTCTCACCTTGTTTGAAGGTTTCTTTAGGCTACATGACACACACTCTTTCTATTTTGTCTGATCTGCTTCTTTTATCCTTTGTGTCTCCTCTCTCTTCTCCTCTTTACTACATCCTTTTCTCTTATCCTCAGGCTACATATCCCATACATTTCCCCTATGTTTCTCCTTTAATGTTCTCCCCCTTTTCCACCTTCCCGCTGCGACCAGATGTCCTCCCTTTTTTCTCTCTCTCCACTTTTTGTCCTATGGAAGTCATCCTCCTTCTCCTTCCTCTGAGAGATTTGCACTCTTTTCCTTCTCCCCACCCTTTCAGCAGCATCTCCCTCTTATCCTCATCTTCTTCTCTTCTTCCTAAATCCTTCTCCTCTTTCTGCTGCAGCTGCTGCTGATGTCCTCTACCTCGACTCAGCTCCTCTTCTTCTCTCTCTTACTGACCCGTCCCTCCTCCCCCTCTCTGTCCCTGTCCCAGGGCTCGTTAAACAATGTCCACATTCACATGACATCATCTGCAGTGAGCCGCCTATAGAGGTGACAGTGTGTGTGTGTGTGTGTGTGTGTGTGTGTGTGTGTGTGTGTGTGTGTGTGTGTGTGTGTGTGTGTGTGTGTGTGTGTAAAGGGGAAAGTACATATACTGTTTAAAGTCTCTGCACTGCAAGTTTGCATACATTGTTACGTAAAGGAGAAAACAACAGTCAAGTTGTCCACTGGGTGTAACTGTTCGTGATATTTTCTGAAGGATTTACACTTTTTAAAGTTGCAACAAAGCACAAATGTTATTCAAGAATTAAGACCAATGAAGGCAGACTATGAGACACAAACCAGGACTACGTTACTCCTTATAGAGGAAGCATTTTGTGCATGTCATTATTGCCACTCGCCACTAATAGAGGTACCTTCACCAAACTATCTTAAAGGGATATTCCGGCGTAAAATTAAGTTAGGGTAAAACACACCGTAACACTGAGTTAAATACCCCGTCGAGAGATGAATGTTGCCGACTGCTTGCTTCTCTAGTTATACCAACTTTAGTCACGACTGCACGATAGCAATACACAGTAGTCCCAGGAGCCACGCGTTCAACCAAAAAGCCACTATATAGCCACAAATAATGCTCAGAACAGCACCTAACTTCATCAACAGTACATATAGGGTCCCAGCCACAGCACTAGCCACCAAACATCTTTTTAGCTTTGCTTGATTTCTTTAGCAAAGAGACCAAACACCTCTACCTCTACAAGGAAATGTATTTTGTTTGGGGAGATTTTGCAGTAGATGTTTATCAGTGCAGAAGAATTTGTATTCACCTGAGTTAAGCACACAAGCTGTTGGTCCAGACTACCACCAATCCCTCTGTCACACCCCTAACACCCCAATCCTCAACAACCATTTCACTTCAATTTCACATTTCCTTTTCTCCAGCTCTAAATTTTCACTGTTACGAAGTCAACTTTCTGTTCTTTCCCTTCTCTAACTTCTACCTTTCTTTCTCTCCAGAACTCTTTATTTTGTTCTCAGATATTTCCCCCTCTTTTCTCTCTCAGCATCTCTTGTGCTTTCTCTCTCTGAATCCTTTGATGTCAGCTCTTACCTGCTGTCACATACCACCTGTTCAGTTCTCCGCCAGACAGGACTGGATTAAACTAAGCTAAACTGCAGCGGACAGGACTGGGCCGAAGTGGACCAAACCAAACAGATCAACAAGGCTGGAAAATGACAGAAGGAAATATGGATGGTACCCAGATGAATAGTCAAAGTTGAGGGGTGAGGAGAATCTCTGTTGTGAGAAAGGTTCTATTTGACAAATTTCCTTGAAGACAATCTGACTAACTCTTTGCACCCTAAGACTATTGTTTCTGGCTGGTACTCACACTAGACCCAATTGCTGGTACTGGGCTGAAGAAAACATGTCCCCCTGACTTCAGTCCCCCTGCTGGCCTGCACTCATATTGCTGCAGCATGGGCATGATCACCTCTTGTATCTATGTCATAAGAGACACTTTCCTCACTTCCCATGATTGTGTAACGACCTTAGTTGAAATCAGTTGGGGAGAGTGGGGTAAGATGAGCCATTTTTCATATTTCGGATCACCATCAAGGCAATCATAGTTTTGTCTCTAACTAGTTTATCTGCATATATTTCAAGATGTTGTGCATCCCTGCAAACCAACAGAATGAGTGTAAACATAACTGTCTTGGGAATATAGCATGCCAAAGAAAGTGGTCCCCTGTATGGGGTAAGTTGACTATAGGAGCGGGGTAAGTTGAGCCGTATCCCTACTATCCCCCCACTCTCCACCCCAGCCCTCCCTCACCTTCTCTCTCCCTAAATAACAGTCACTTCTTCACATTCATGTGTATTTTTATCTACTATACGCTATTCAACTGGTACAATAATTCTTTTTATATTACTCCATATAACTGCTAAAAAGCGGTTTTGTAAAAAGTCATTTTAACATGAGAATGTCTTTAAGTGATTCAGAACATTCACAGCTGTATTTTTGAAAAGAAAAAGTAAAACATTTCAACAATCTGAACTGAAACTCTGATCCTCTCATCAGACTTCTTTACTTTCTCAGTTGAGCTACTGGCTCAACTTACCGCAGAACTACTATTATGACTTTATTAGTCCTCTAAGCTAAAATGGTGGACTTTGATGCTAGGTTTTTGACCTCATGTTGTAGTTCACAGATACCACAGTTGATGTATAAAACAAATTTAAAATGATTTTTTTGGTCTGAACACAATTCTAATGAAACTTATGACAGACTAAATTCACTTTCAAGGGTGAAAATGTTTCTTTTGTAAATAAATGTCTAACCCCTTCACTCATGTGCTTCTAACCTTCACAGACTCCATGAATTGATGACCATCTCCTAAATATTTGGTCACATGATCAATTTCTTTTTCCATTTCTAAGCAACAGAGCAACTCTCCCCTGCACGAGTTGACGGGGAGGTGGGGGGCATCCCCCCTGAAATAAAAATGGTCAAAATCATCCCCCCTCTTTCTAAAACGGTCTTGCCAACTTTCAATTCCTTGAGCCATTTTTGTCAATAAGTGTGGAAATCTTGTCACTAGTTTAACACATAGACTATATACAGTCTATGGTTTAACATTATTAGTATTACCGCAATTTCAACGTTTAGCGGATGTGACGGAGCGGCGTCCTCACTGACTGCGGGCCACACACACATACTCACACACCAAACATTTCCCTCCCGGCATCGCGCTACTTTTCCTTCTCCCTTCTCTGTTGGATAGGGTAACCAAGGTTGCACACTTGGAGCTCTATCAGTTAACTTTAACATACATTCACACAGACATTCATCCCTTCACTTACCTGCCGTGCCTCCATTCACGCCATCATGCCGGTTCAGGTTTCCAAATGAGAAACAGAGCGCGCGATTTCCGGGTTTAAAATAGGTGGGTATGGAGGGTCAAAGTGGTCACATGATGCAAGAAAAATGTATTCCCTTGTTGTTCGCCACGAATCTCTACAAATTAATGCTCCATTGATTTGTGTAAAAACTCAGTTATAATGGCGAAAATGTACAGAAAAAGGTCTGAAGATTAAAAATGGTTTAAAAAAAGTGTTTAAATGTGATTTTTTTCTCTCAAACTTATGTAATTAATAACGCCCACTGGGAGGGGCTATGGGGGGTGTTAACAGAGGGCTTCCTGGGCCTTTCCGTCTTTGAGACTGGAGTTTGTTGTATAGAAGGTAACTGCCAAACTGACTTTTGTAGTGCTGCTGTGTTTCTATTTTTCTCTTGAGAGAGAGTCTAGAGTTATAGTAGAACTACTGCCTTGTTGGAATTTTCTCTTTTTTTTGCCTTGTACATTTTGTAAATAGTATTTGACCATTTTTTTGCACTTTTGTAAGTGCAGTAGAATCGACACATAAGGCATAACTGCAACTTTACTGACTTTGCGGCAGAGTTTATGACAGACTCTTTTTCCTGACGGCCACCAGTAATATTCATGAACAACTATGAGAGCATTCCTTAAATGGTTGATGTTTGGAGGAAAATTTTGTCTTTGCTAGACACCAATGATTAAAGGAGAGAAATAGTGACTACTTTGGTAATATTAAACTTTATGTTTTAAGTATGTAACAGAAACCAGCAACGTTCAACTCTCTCGTCAGTCCACCTCCTTATGTTTAACCAGGGACAGTTCACAGTGGTAGAGATCCAGTAAGCTTGGGGTTCCCTCTCAAAGTTGTTTTGTCCTACTACTCTTGTTGGGATACCCTGGCACTGAGTTGTATAAATTTACATTAAAGTCATCTATCCATGTGGTTAAAGTGAGTTAGGCTTATGGCAATTTATGGTCATATAATCCTGCCAGTTAGACCTGGATCATAGCCACCCACAAACAACCGCTGTAGCCACAGCTCCTGCAACGCCATACCTATCTACTGTTTCCAGTGACCTCTTGACTAATCCATCCTAAAAAGACTCTTTTTTCTTTCTTTTTTTCTAACATTAAAAAAGCTACTTCACCGCTATGACCTCCTTCCGTCCTCCTCCACAATCGAGGCTTTTCATATGGCCCATATGCATCCGACTTCCCAAGGGCTCATGAGGAACTCTTTAAGGGAGTTACAGACCCTTATGAACAAGGATCTTAAAGTATAGCCTCTCAAAGTGTTTATGTTAAACATTTCTGTCCAGCAGCCTCACCTGCCAAAGGACTCGGCACACTACCGCATGGGGATCAGTTCACGGTCCTACAACTCTCTTTTTACCTGAAAGTACAAGACACACAGTATGGTTGCAGATCTGATGATATCACAGTAAGTAGTTAACCCATGAGCCCCCTCCAGGGTATCGCTGTTACTGCCCACATTTGAAGCCCTTCCCCCAGTTGAACGACGGAGTCCTATATACACCTGGCCAAAAAACATTGAGCTTGAGCTGCATCACCCCAGGTATCATGCATCATGTCGCTGCTCTTCCTGCACTGTACAAAAATGAACCACAAGGACAAGTTCACGTCATAAAGCCAGCAGCTGTGTTTTCTTACATGTTATGACCTAATGGCGCCTGTTTATCAGATCAAAATAATGACGCAGTTCTCCATGAAGCTCACATGTTGAGCCAATGAGGCGACAACTTTACATAAAAGCCATCAAAGCACTCCTATGAAAAAGTGGGTTGGGTTTGAGCCAGTTTTTAATTATTAAAAAACACGAACTCTGTTTTGTATTGACCCTCGCTTTTCTTTTTCAATCAAATTCTTCCAGAAGCTTTTGTGAGGAGCTGTCCCTCCAGGCAATCCCACGTGGGTTTAAACATTTGCTTGATTTTCTTCTTTTCAGTCTGAGTTTGCTCTGATCTTTATCATGGTCATTTCAGCTCAATTCAGGGAAACTCTTTTCTGTTTTAATCTGTCCGGTCTGACTTTGTTCAGCTCTGCTCTTTGTGCCTCTGCTCTTTCCTCCCCCTTTCTCTCTCTCTCTCTCTCTCTCTCCCCTTTTTTCTCTTTCCTCTTTGATCAGCAGGAATAGGTGAGTTGAAAGGTTAGCTCGTTCTTTGACCACTACGACTAAGAAAATCTTTAACAGAAAACACGAGCGCCGCTACAAACCAGAGGAGAAAAAGCGGGCTAAACGCGAATGTGTGCGATTGTGCGTCTGTGCGTGTGTGTTCTCCCAGGTGACGGAGCGTGGACGAGAGAGATACTCGTTTGATCCCTGGAACAAAGGGAGAGAGGGGAGGGCAAAGGAGGGAGACGGCAGGAGGAAGGGAGACAGAAAGATGAGAGAGAGAGAGACAGATAGCTAAAGGGTGGAAGAGCGAGAGACAAGATGGTAGAAAGGGAGACAGACACAGCGGGTTGGGAGGGATCAGGCCTCATGAGAACAGAGCTTTGTTGAAGGGGGTTTGAAGATCATGAGTGGCTATGTGAAACAGAGTGCAAAGGAAAGGAGGAATGTTTGGTCCAAAAACTGCTCAGAGCACACAATCATGATAATAACAGCTAGCTGCACTCTTACTGTTGCATGAAACTAAGTAACAACAACAAAAAAACACATTTTCTAAAGGTCAGTTTGTGTGTTCCTTTTAAACACACTTCCTTAAATGCTTAGATATCTGTCTCTGACATATATAATAAAAATGTTGGCCTCCAAAAAAAGGAATCAATTCGATTCAACAATGACCCAACTGTGGCAATACTGATCACTTATGAGCCATCTCACAACCCAAGATCCTCTGAGAGGGCCTCCATGGTCATCCCAAAGTTGAGGCTCAAATCTAGAGGGGACCGTGCTTTTGCTGTCAGAGTCCCTCGACTTTGGAACGACCTGATTCTGATCCTACATGTCCTGTACCACATTGAATCATTTATATCTGTATATCTCCCTGAATATCTTTTGTATTTGATTGTTTGTAGATTACACGATATTAACAGCATAAATATCTAATTTTAATAGCTAATGTAAAAGAAAGGTCCTGATAAAAATCCAATACCATGCATCTATTTCTATTGCTTTTTTGCTTATCAGCCTTTCACAATCAGTCCCCTTTATTCCTTGTATTTGCATATATGTATTCTTATTGACCTTCTCGGTTAGCCTCAATGTTAAATGTTTCCCTTTTATTTTATTTCCTGCGTTTTGTACTACAGTAGCTCAGTCCATAGGAACTGAGTTTTGTTCAAATCCTGTTACAGACTAAATATATATATCTGATGGTTTTACAACAGGACAGGTTCAGCACCAGTTATCCTTTATACACAATATGGTGAATACCTTTACTCCTTCTATGTAACCAGCCCAAGAAAACAGCCCACACTGCCGTCACAGCATTTTACTGATGTGGGGGAAAAAAAATGCAGCTCAAATCATTTTTTACCCCGTATGGTCATCACATCAAGGCTCCTGATCAGCAGGGAGGGTTGTCAAAAGAGTTTTGATGTGCTGAAATGACTAAAAGGGAGGCAGACAGAGCACATTACATTTAAATCGTTATTTTATACAACTACCAAATAATAATGAAAAATGTTTATTAATGATTTTATGATATATTTAATTTTTCCAAACACAAACGCTTTATGTGAAGGTTTAAATCCAACTAAAATCTAATCTGGTCTTGTGCATAGGACATATGTATAAGGCCACTGCATACATTATCATATGACTGGATCACCTTCATGCACATATGCACACCACATTATTAAGTGTATGGTACACCAGCCCCCCTCAGACTCCTTTCCCCTCAACCCTCCAATCTGTCACCACCAACAAAGACACCCACTGCTATTGAAGGTGTTGTATTTGAGGTTTTGAGCAGTGGTCAACCAGTATAGTTTTTTTAATTGGTCTATTTCTAGTTTTCAGTATTGACAAAGTTGTCTGCATCTGTCTGCACTGATATTACCGTGTTGCATTTACTGGGTTTATTGCACTGAATCATTATTCTGCACAATGTTTGGGAAGCAAATGGCACATGATGTGATCTTGAAATGTCCTCACCACAACATTTACATGGGAATTCTTCATGCTGGTCAGTTCAGGTGCCCTTCAGTGATGCCTTTTCTCTGCTGGCACCGATGATTGCTTTATAATGATGCCACCAGTGACTCCGTATGAGAGACTATGCACACACTTAGCCAAGACAAGGATAACTAACCACTGAAAATGGGGAGGGATGCACAGTTAAAGAACATTTCTATAAAGTGTTGATGCATGTGAGCAATCACTAACACATCCCCCATCATGCCTCTCTCCTCCTGGCTGCACATTGTAAAGAGCTTTCATCAAAAGTGGCTTAAAATACCAGGGAAGCAGTAACTGTACATCTTTTATATGTATGTGCCCGGTGGGAATAAATGCAAAGATATAAAACATTTTTTTTTTATAAATAAACCCAGTTAAATGCAGAGCCACCATCAACCCAACCCCCACATCCCCACCCACATACACCTTTTGATTCTCCTCCTTTTACAGAGACTGTTATTATGATCCTCCAAACATGCCTTGGAGACATGTGAGTCACTCACAAGTTATTAATTTTAGCTAAGTGTTGGGGTATGATGAAGCACAATGCTATAAATAGTAATCTGTCTGATTTTAGACAATCAAAATTAGATAGATGACTGTATTATAAAAGGTCGAGGTGAATCAGGACTCTGTGTATCAGGAAATTACTTTTAAATAAGACTCACCCTTTCTGTGAATTTCAAAGGATTTTCTACATGGATAATATTATGAAAATGTTTAGAAGAACTTAAGAAATCCCCGTATATAAGGGTCAAGACAGGAAACTAATACTGGATGGCTGTGATCTTTGGGTCCTCTGGATGCACGTAAGTAAAAACAGGCATAGCTCTGTAGTGGAAATCACTGCATTGGCTCACAATCTCTTCCAAAAACCATTGTCACTGAAAAACAGTTTGCTGCTGCATCCACAAATGCAGGTTAAAACTGTAGTACGGTTGCCAAGAGGGAACCATATTTACTTATGATCCAGAAATGCCAGCTACTTCTCTCTCTGTACAAGATGGATTAAAGCCAAGTGGAAAACTATCCTGTGGTCTAATAAATTATAATTTGACATTCTTCATGGAAACCTTTGGTGCCTTGACCTGCACTCTGAAGATAAGTGTGACCACCTGGATTGTTATCAACACACAATAACCACCTCATGATGTGCAAACTCAGTTGGAAACTCAAGAGATTTGAGGAGTTTTTTTTTTAAGTCAGTAGCTCTTGTCTTTTATTTTTTGAGGAATTGTGTCCCACCATTGGGACAAAAAGCAGCCCAGTTTTAGGAGGAACATGCAGATAATTTCTTTTTCAGGGAAGACCTTGCATAATTCAAGAAGACAATGCCAAACCGCATTCTGCACAAATTCATCTGCATGGCTTCACAGGAACAGGGGCTAGACGAACCTGCCTGCAGTCCTGACTTGTTGCCTACTGAAAACATTTGACACATCATGAAGTGAAAAAAAAAAAGAACAAAGAAGTCCCTGAACTGTTCAGCATCTGAAATTTAATGCTGGGCCAAACTGGAACAACATTTCACTTTTAAAATGTCAGGAACGTTCTCCTCAAACTTTACAGAGCGTTGTCAAAGACAAGCTGAAAAACATAATGGTAAATAAGCGCCTGTAATGCTTACATGAGCATATGATATGTGTTGAGAAAAAAATAAAATCTTGGAAATTTTAGAGGAAAAACTACAGAGAGTGGGCACACCAGATCTTCTACCAATCTTAAGACTGGCAGCTGGACCCCTCGTATTCCTGTTGGCATGCTGAACTGTCCTTAAGCAAGATCCTGAACCAGAATTACACCCAAAGACCACGTCTGGAGAGGAAGTATCTGTAAGTGTGTGAGATGGAGGGGCTGGCACCTGGCCAAGAAACAAAAAATCAATACTGACCAAAGCTTTGGGCTGACTGTTGATACTGATGTTTGGCCCAGATTATCAGGTGATATGATGTGTTTATAGATCGAGTCCTTCAACTTCTGGTTTAAGAATGAGCCATATTGACCTGTATAACTTATAGATTCAGCTAAAACTCTGGAAATCTTCATATGTTGTTTGGCTTTGAAGCTGTTGAACTGATAAGACTACAGATGCAAAGTTTGTGATAATCAGAGCTGATTCAGATACTGGTGTTATTTGCATTGAGGTTCTTTGTGTCTGTTTTTAAACAAAAAAAATAAACAGTGAGATTTTTTTGTATGAAAACTGCTGCAAATAGTCCCACCGCTTCAAATGTCACTGGTACACGTCTTATAGAAGTATGTTTCTCCTCTTTCTCGGAGGGGATAAAACACTTCTACACTGCTGACAATTTCTTCTTCCATGTTTGACCACGAGAAGGATCCTGTCACATTAAAA